TTTTAATTCCCTTCAAATTTTACTTAAAATCTCGATTTTAATAACATTGGTCCCATGTGCTTGGTGATGCACTTCTTCAATCTCTACCATTTATCTAAATTCCTATACAGCTAACAACTAAAACTAAAATTTTAGAGTAAACTTCTAAATTTAATTTTTGAAAGTTAAAAAATTACCATATTAATCTTTCAAATGTTTTTTGTCATTAAATTAGGCGCTCAAAGATTTAAAATTTCACCACCCGTATAAAATTTTAAAGTGATAATATAAAAAGATGAATTTGGTAACTGTTGATTACCTTTGAAGAATTAATTTAATGACAAAAATATTACATGGAATACTTATTTGATAAAAAGTGAGCTCGATCAAGCATTTAGCGAGTTAAGCTGAAATAGTTTATAATAACTCAATACTTTTTGTTCTATCTTAGGGATAGAAATGTCTAGTTAGAGACTAGTGCATTGATTTAGATCTATGAGCTCTTTCAGGTATTTATAAAGGAGATAATTTTGAGGATAACATATTACTGTGCACAAGACATAACGACATAGCCAAAGGATGATGTGTGTATATAGTGGCAGCAAATAGAGAGAGGGTTCAGAATGTATGTACCTGGTTGACTTAACCCTTTATTTATATATGGATTACCTGACAGAAATGAACTTCTTGGACTATTAAGAGTCCAGTTCTTGATCCATTATTTTCGCATTAGGTTTAGGGAATATTTTCTTAATTTTTCTCTTAACATTTAACCCTTTTTGGACCTTCTAAAATATGGAGATAAACACCCTTAATAATATCACTTTTGCTAGGCCATGTGAAGGAGGAAATGAACAAATGCCAAACTTAGATGATCCTACATCACTAGCACAATACATATGGCTTTGTTGAGATTTGGAGAAAGCTTGGTGATCGCCAAATTATCTTTCAAATCAAATCCTAAAAAAAATAAAAATATCTTTAATTGGTACTCATCAATTAATACGTTCTCCCCACATTTCTCACTTCCCAATGTTATTTTTTATCATTCCCTAAAATCCCAAATTGAGATTGTTCTGCCTTCATAAAAAAAACAAATTGTTGAAATTGGTGTTCATTGTTATGTTCATCCTTCAATTCCTAAAAGATCGCTCTTCCGACCATGAAATTTCATATGAATCTGTGCTCTTAGTACCTTCCTTCTTCTCAATATCGGTGAACTTAACAATCTTATTTTAAAGTCCTGCTAACGAAAATCAACGTTTGACATATACTCCGTTGGCGATACTTGCACGCACTAAAATTTATATCGGAAAATCAAGATATTTCCCCCCTTTTTTTTTCTAAATTAGTGTGTATCAATGCTTTCAAAGCAAATAATATAAAGGAAAGAAAGAAAGGGACACTTTATTTTCTGCTTTCCTCATCTCCCTTCTCTCAGAATCCAGTTGTTTTTTGGAAGGTTGCTCATAAAAGATTATAAACAATGAGAAGGTTAGCTAATATGAATATGGGCAACCCATTATGTGTGCTGTGCAATAAGAAGGATGAGAATTTGTCTCAGTGGCGTAGCCACTTTAGTGCCTGCTGGTACCTTGGCACTAGCTTACTTTTAATAAATTGTATTTACTATATATAATCATATAATTAATTATAATTTAGTCATGATTAAAATTATAATTTGGCACTACCTAAAAATTAAAATATTTTTTTGATATACAAATAGAAATTAAACACACAACTTAATACAAATTACCCAAATATTTTATCACTTCTTGTGACTTAATTAAAATATATTTACAATTACAAATTATCGAAGTCAAATCTCTGCTCTCTGTACTCTCTCTCTCTACTTTAGTCTATAGCTACAAATTACCCAAACAAACACGCAAGGCAGGAACGTTGCTCGAAGGTCTTCCATTACAGCATGGAGGGAGATGCAAGAAAGGGGTTCATTTTGAAAGCTTTAAAAGCTTTAAAAAAAAGGTAGTCTGGTAGTGTTGCTCAAAGGAAAAAGATGAAGTTTGAGTACTACTGATGATCTGATGGAGTTGCTTCCCCTTCCCCTCATCCTCATCCTCTGGTAGTTTTATTTTTATATTGTTTTTTTTAATTTTTTTTTTATTTCGGTGAGCTATTGACAATTATTAGATTATGTTTAATTTTTTTTGCATTTTCTTGATTTATTGTTATCTGGGTTCCAATGTTCTGTACTTTTGTTGATGTTTTACTTGGTTTGTTTTATTGGTTTTAAGGTATCAAACATTTGGAAGAAATTTGCATTTGAAAACAATTAATTAATAGAAGAAAGTTCCCATCGGTGAGTTATTGTTTTATTGATTTTATTTAATGAAGTTTGGCTGCTTGAGTTATTGTTTTATTGGTTTTATTGAATTAATGTTTTAATTTGGTTAGTTTACAAATTAGAGATAGTGGATTGTTAATATAAAAATCTGAAAGCTCGCTTCAAATAACTGTAGGAAGACAAGGGATTGTTAATATCATTGACAAATATTTCTATAATGGCTTGTTTAAGAAGACATATAGGAATATAATTTAATATATCTCCTTCGAAATAATTTGAATTGTCAATTGAAGCATTTTCACAAGGACATCCCAAAACATCCAATACTTCAAAATTTATCTTCAATTTCTGAGTTGTGTCAAGGATTAGCTAAGACAGGAAAGTCAAATTCCTATCATTTGGTTGATAGGCTAATTCGTCTTATTTTAACTCTACCAGTTTCAACAGCAAGTGGTGAACGTGCATTCTCAGCAATGAAAATTGTGAAAACAAGGCTTCGAAACAAAATGGAGGATGAATTTCTTGCAAAATTGTGTATATTGAAAGAGAGATTGCTGAAACTTTTACTACAGATTCTATCCTTGAAGATTTCGTCAATTTAAAAGAGCGTCGTTTACAATTTTAGGTATGCATTTTTTATTATATTTTAAATTATTTATTAAATGTTATTATGCATATATGTATTATATTTGTGTGTTTTTATATCCTTAGGACAATGCTTGGTTCATTACTTATTATGTTGTGGGAGGAAAGTGAAATTCTTATGTTTGAAATGTTTATCGGAAAGGTTAGTGCCTTTTTATATGTTTGTTTTGATATATAATCATTTATAATTGTTCGTTTGAATTTTCAATGTTATGTGACATTATTTAATATATAATTTAGATAACTATGTTAGAATTCATAGTAAATTTTTTTCCTGATTAATTTGCGTAATTACAATAAATATTCTGATAATTTAATTTGTCAAAAAATGTTGGCACCACCTAAATTTTTACTCTGGCTCCGCCACTAATTTGTCTCATGTGTTTAGAGACAGCGGCTGTATTCGGTAATTTTGGCAAAGATTAGAGGCTCATAATTATTGCCCATCTTTCTTCACATTGACAGAGGATGATTGGGTCTTATCTAATCTTCAGCTAAATATTGTGGATGAGAGGGGTGTACCTTGGCATACTACGTTTGTTGTCACTGTTTGGGTAGCTTGGAAGTGGTGCAATGAATTAATGCATAAGAGTATAAGCCCTTATAATGCATATGACTATAATTTGTTTTTAAGCCAATCCAAAGAAATCTGGGATACAGCTGCAAGGCTTAAATATGGTGATGCTGTTGCGAATTTAAAGGACATTACGGTTACTTGGAAATTTCCGGATGAGGGGTGGGTAAAAGTGAACATTGATGGTGCTGCCAAAGGTAATCCAGGATTGGCTGCTTGTGGGGGTGTGATAAGGGACTGTGTGGGAAAATGGCTCAACGATTTCTGCTATAGAGTAGGCCATTGCAGTGCCATAATAGCAGAATTATGGGGAATATTGAAGGAAATTCAAATGGCTTGGGAGGGTGGTTGGAGAAGAGTAATTATTGAAAGCGACTCTAGAATAACAGTCATGTGACTCAACACAAGGGTGGGCCAGTCTGTGAGTCTCATCTTGTTGCTCGCATATAGGCATGGATAGACAAAGACTGGATAGTTGAGATACAACACACGTATAGAGAAGGAAACTGTTGTGCAGATTGACTCTCAAACCTTCCTTTGGTTAATCCGAATCAAGCAGATTTTTGCTCCTTTGTGGCCCCTCCCCCTGGTATAAGTCTTTTGTATTTAGCTAATTTAGGTGGTTTTGGTAGAACTCGTTGCATTTGTTCCTCTTAGCCTGTTTTGGGGTTTTAACCCCAACCAGGATACCAAAAAAAAAAATTTGGCGTGAAAACCCCACACGATACGCCACATGAAAATTGAGGCAAAGACCACTTGGAATTGGCGTTTGATACGCCAAGTTGGCGTGCGAGCCCTCAATGAGAATTTTTCGAACTAATAGAGTTTGGCGTATCATACTCCAAATTGGCATACGAGGCGCCAGCGAGAATTTTTCGAACTCACAAACTGCTCCCAAGTGGCGTATGATAGGCCAAATCGGCGTATTGGACGCGGATTCCTCTACATTTCTCACAAATTTTTCACTCACCTGAAATTTTTACAACCGCATTAAAATACACCATATCTTAATCAATAAAATAAAATAAAACTAAAATTAAAATTAAAATTAAAAAAATAACACTAAAATAAAAGTAACCTAACAAAATAAAATAATAATTTTTTTTTAAGAAAAAAATTGAAAAACTTATTGGGTTGCCTCCCAATTAGCGCTTGTTTTACGTCACGAGCGTGACGTACCGCTCCTGATTATGGTGGTTGGAAACACGCTATCATTGATGAATCAGTCTTCTTGATCCAATATTGTGTCCTTCCATAATACTCTTGTGCAGATGAATGAGAAGAAATTGCCCCAGGAGCTCTAAATTTAGTTTTCACATGCTTTCCCTTGCTCCTGGGTTTTCCCATCTTAACTTTTGGCTTGCGTTCCTCATACTTCTGATGGATTTTCTTCTTGTTTCTTTCCTCAACCCTCTTATCAACAATGCAATAAACTTGACCTTCAAGTTTCTTGGTCAATTCAACTAGCTATTCTTTCCGTGCATTTGAAACTTCAGTTTAATCGATGGCTTTAACTATCTTAGTTAGTTGATCATCATTCAGTAGCTCTGAAGAGTGCAAAATGTCTGCAAAATGATCTTCAATAGTGAAAGGATTTGCTTCTTCGATGATCTTCTCTGAGACTGCTTCTTCTATTACATCGATCTGAAAGCCGTCTTCTTTATCTTCAGGTTGCTTCATGGCCTCAAAAATATGCATATTGAATTCACCATCATTAACTCTAAAGATCATCTGTCTTTTTTCCACATCAATCAGTATCTTAGCAGTTGCTAAGAATGGTCTCCCCAAGATGAGAGGCATATTGTCATCTTCCTTCATATTAAGCATAACAAAATCAGCTGGAAATATATAATCATTTACCTTTACAAGGACATCTTCTAGCACTCCTTCCGGCCTTTTGATGGATCTATCAGCAAATTGAAGAGACATCAAGGTAGATTTCATCTCCGTTATCCCCAAAGATCGTGCAAAAGAAAGAGGCATCAAGTTGACACTGGCTCCCAAACCACATAGAGCTCTTCCTACTTTAACATTCCTGATCGTACAAGGGATACTGAATCTCCCTGGGTCTTTGACTTTAGATGATAACCCATTTTTGATCACCGCTCTACTCTCTTCAGTTAAAGCTACTGTTTCCATCTCTCTGAGCTTATGCCTGTTTGACAAGAGACCCTTCATGAATTTTGCATAAAGAGGCATGTTCTCCAAGGCTTTAGAAAAAGGAATATTGATTTGCAACTTCTTGAACATCTCCATAAACTTCGAGTATTGCTGTTTCTCTTTATCTTGCTTTTGTCGAAGAGGGTATGGAGCTTTTGCATAAGGATCTGGTTAACTGAATCCTGATGGAGGTTCCTTTGTAGTTTTCTTATTACGATTGATTGCTCCTCCAAAGTAGGTTACATCATAATTAGGAGCATCTTCTTTCTTAATACTCTCCTCTTTTGTCTCCTCCTCTTTTGGCACTTCTTTGTCTACCTTGGCTGGCTTATTTTGAGGTTCAATCACCTTCCCACTCTGAGTGGTGATTGCATTACAGTACTCTTTTGGATTAACCACAATATCACTAGGCATTGTCCCCGGAGTTCTTTCATTCAATTGCTTGACCAACTGTCCAATTTGAGTTTCAAGATTTCGGATCGAAGCCTCTTGATTCTTGATCGATGCCTCTTGAGTCTTGAAGTTCGACTTATCTCTTGAATGAAATCATTGGTGGATGAAGCCATGGTTTCAATCAATTTCTCCAAAGCTAAATATGAGCTAGATGGAATAGGATGTTGTGGCTGTTGTGGTTGTGGATTGTAAGAGAGGCCTGAGTTATTCCTCCAACCTGTGTTGTTGCTACTTTGGTAGTTGTTCCTTTGTGGGTTTCCCATATAGTTGACTTCTGAAGGTTGAGCTAACGGGAAATTCGCAGTCAAATGTCCTTCAGAACATATGTCACATACTACTGGTTCCTCAGCATTGATGGCAGAGATCTGATTCTTAGCAATTATCTTTGTGAGAGATTCCATCTGCTTCTGCAAACTCTGTTGACCAGTCATCAAGATGTCAAGTCTATCCACTTGCAGAATGCCTCTTTTGGAGCTGGGTATATCCTCATTCTCTTCCGCAGCTGATTCTTCAATGAGTTGTAGAGATGCAGCTGGAGCTTTGTTAACTAATGATCCATTAGCAGCCGCATTCAGGAATTTTCTATCAGCAGGGCATATACCATGGTAGAAGAGCCTCATTTTATCTCTTGCTTGATGAGCATATTGTGGGCAAGCGGCCAATAAGCCTTTGAATCTCCTCTAAGCTGCGCCAAATAATTCACCATCATGTTGAGAGAAATGATCAATCTCTCGCTTCTTCTGCATGAATTTGGAAAGAGTAAAGAACTTCTTTCTAAATTTAACCACCAAGTCGTCCCATGAAGTGATGCTTCCTTCCGGTTCATTCCTTAGCCATTCTTTTGCTCTTCCTTTAATTGTAAAAGGAAACAGAATCAGACGAATAGCATCAGTGCTAACTCCATTATGCTTGTGAAGTCGACATAGTTCCAAAAATCCTGACACATGAAGATTGGGATCATAGTTGTCCTCCCCTGAAAATTGATTATTCTAGAATAGCTGCAAAAAGGCCGGACGAACTTCAAAGTTGTTGGCTTGGATTGGTGGAATTATGATTGCAGAAGAGACAAGTGCAAATGATGGGTTGAAGAATTGCTCCATGGTATCCTCTTGTGGTATTTCTTCAGCCATAGTTGATGTTTCTCCTTGGAAGAGTGATCGGTTCACTTTTTCTTTTTCTTTTCGCTCCTTAGTGAGCCTTCTGTTCTCCCTTACTATCTTTTCAATTTTCGGTTCGTAGAGCAAGTCGTTTGGATCAACTATATCTCGCATAAATCAGATTTAAAAAATAAAAATAAAAAAATCAATAAGGGTAAAAAAATAAAGGTCTAATCTTAAACTCCACATATACTACTATTGTTGATTTTTAGTCCCCAGCAACGACGCCAAAAACTTGTTGCGAACACGGCAAGTATACCGGTCGTACAAGTAATAAAGTGATTAAGTAAAAGTATCGTTCCCACGAGGACTAAATTCAAGCAATAGTTTCACCGTTTTTATCTAAGTTAGACAATTCAAAAGTAATTTCGCAGGTAATCAATATTTAATTAAAAATCAAATAAAGATGACAATAACAAAAATTAATTAAAAAGATAATTTGAAATAAAAATTGAGTTTTAAAATCAAGAATAAAAATGCAGTTAGGTTTACTTCACCTTTGATCCCCCTTAAAAAAATTTGACGTAATTGTTTTACGTCGAAACTTTACGATAGAAATGTGTTTCGTCAAAATTTTGGACGAAAATATTTTCGTTGAAAGTTTCGACGGAATTTGATTCTATCAATAATTTTTACTGAATTTTTTTTCCCGTAAAAAATTTATGTCAGTGATTATGGCAAAATCTGGTTCCGTCTCTAATTTAATCTTTAGTTTTGACAGAAATTTTTTGACGTATATGATTTTTGTCAAAAATTTCATCACTATTTTTGATGAAATATTTTTCTTCGATAAATTCTGTCGGTATTTGAGACTTTTATAATAATATCACATTTAAAAATGATTCACATTTATGTAGTTTTCACATTTTAATGCTAAGGGTAGATAAGTAATTTTTAATATTTGTCACATTTTAAAATTTTTAATGCCAAGGGAACTTTAATTTTAAGAAGGAGGAGGAATTTGGAGGGTTTAGTAAAAAAATTTAATTTCTTCCTCTCATTTTTTTAAACTCACAAATAAGGGAAGAGCTTACTAAAATTCTCCCTTTCCTTTTCTTTTCCTCCTAAAACCAACTCTCAAACAAAGCCTTAGAGGAAGAATGTTGCACACTTTTGTAATTGTGCTTTTCCTGTAATCACTCTACATGTGTTTGTCACCGTCCCAATATACAATATAAAAGAAGTTTATTTATAATGGGAAATTATATTCTTACATTGTATAAGATTCATCTCTTATCTCTCATTTGACACTCATATAAATATGCTCTTTTTTTCTTTTTCTTTTTTAAATTGATGAATCTCACTTTATTTATCTAATAATATAAGATAATTTCTCTTGTACTAGATAAGAGAAATAAAACCTTATTTATATTTAGGGAAATGCTTTTTTTATGTCACATGAGAGATCTTATCTCATGTTACACAACCATTGAAATCTGAGGTAACATTTCTTTCTTTCTTTTTTTAGTTGTGGGACCCACCTAATTACGTCTCTACATAAGACAATGATATCTCATGTAACATGAAAAAACATTGTACTTATATTTATATTGGAATAATGTGATTTTTTCAGTGCCTTTTATGAATATTTAACTATTTTTAATTGGGTCAATTATTTACCTACGCAAGATTGAAGGGCAATAGACATGCAGAAGCCCATGTTATAAGAAAACTTCAAAAATATAATAATAGATGGGCTGGCGAGGCAAAGTCGGGATGGGCTAGCTTTTTCAGCTCAGTATCAAAAGTGGGCAAACTATCTTATTTGTAAGTGGGACGGGCAGGGGTCCTACTTTGCCATCTTTTATAATAGGGGTGAAAGAACATAACTTAGATCCTTTAAAAAAAAAAATGTTTTCCCATATTTAAATCAAAATGTTAACTCCAGCACCATAACTAGCCTATATCAATGAAATTAGCTAAAGAAAAAATCATGTCATGAAGAGCATTAAGAGATTACTATTTATTGAAAGACAAACCCCACCTAACATTCCCTTCCAACCACCAACCAACCACCAATACATACTTTAGCTTTTGATACAGGGGAAAGTACTTCTTATGTGATTGTAGAAGGGAAAACTTGCAGCAATACAGGATACGCGTCCGAATCCTGGTTTTTTTCTGTTTTTTATTTTTTGATAGAATCCGCACGTGTATCCTAGGATCCGCACGTGTATCTTAGTGTTAAAAATTTGCTGTGACTTTTCTCATCTGCAGGCACATGAGAAGCGACGGACCTTTGATATAATAACTCACTATGCAAGGCTATGACTTTTTAGGCCTCTAACATGGTCTTGAATTTCAGTACACTGATGATTGAATGACTACTATTGATGATTGTGACTGCCAAGTGTAGTTGGAGAGTTACGGGTCAAAACTCTCTGATAACTCACTTCAGCAGAAAAAGGCCTCTTCTTTCCACTAGAGTCCTGTTGTGAGAACCTATATTGCTCTTGAGGATTTTATTTGATCAAGTCGTGTCTTCAAATAAGGAAGATCGAAAACAAAACCGGAAGCCAGTGGCACAGTTTCCATTGCTTTATATGAGCAACTAATCTCATGTGTTTCTATATTTTTACGATCACTCAATACACACTCTGAACTTGACTTTTGCATTTGGCTTTTATCTTGAACTAGACATGAAACATCACTACTACTTTCTAGTTGCCAAGGTCGTGAATGAAACTTGCAATTGTTTTCCAACACATTAGTTTGAGAGTTCTCTGTAATTGACACCGACCGTTGTTCTTGATTCTCCAATAACATCATCCTAGACTTGTTTCCAGATTCTTTGGAGCAATTCAAATCTTCAGAACAAAAACTCTGATTTGGGAACACTTTATCGCACCACATGTGAGTATTACCCTCTAAGGGATACTGAGATATGAGGGAAGGAGTAGGAACTGTATTAAAAGTGTTTGGTCTCCATGGAGCAGAAGTAGATGCTGCTGTACGAATTTCACATCCAAGTAATTTCCTTTTGGCTATATTTTGAGCAGTGGGTCCTAAATCTTTAACAAACATCATCAAGCTATCTTTGTAGCCAACATGATCTTGCTGATTAACCTATAACAAACAACAATGTATGATCAATCCAAACCAGAATTTTATTCACTTTGTAAAACTGTATCGATGCTTAAGACAATGGGAGCAAAAAAAGACTCACAGGGTCAAGATGTTTCAATTTACCATAAACTGTTGAAAATATTGACTCATCCCCATCAAGGGACAATGGTCTATAAGTACAACGCCTATCAACCTCCATAGATCTACACCTGCTACCATCTTTAGTACCTAATAAATAAAATTTTGTTAACCAGATAGTTTTTCATTCTTGGGAAATCATTTTCTCATGCAACAAGATATAGTAGTTTTCTCATGTTATGAGACATCGAAATCGTATTATTCTTTTTTTCTTTTTTTTTTAACAATCGGTGAGTTCCGCCACTTGTTGTGTCTATAGTATGAGATATGCTACTTCATGTGACATGAGACAAAAGAAGCCCTTCATTTTTTTAGTAAGACCAAATTAATTTCACAAATCATGATGAGTGTAGTGTTGTTGAACCAAGGACACAAAAGAAGCTTTGCAGCTAAGCTTCAAGGGGGGAAATTCAAAATGAGGTTCTTTAGATTTTTGGATGAATAACTTTGTAGAATGTCAAAGGAAATGTCAAGTTCAGATTAGCTTGTAGAAATTGACCACAAGAAAGTTAGAGAGTAAAATAAGAACTAAGGTGCAAAATAAACTCGGAAGCAATGAAAACACATATCAAAGCTAGTACAGTATTCATACTTTAAACAAAATCTACTTTTCATACTAGAGTTTCCCTCATACCTATAGGAAACTCAACATCTCTAGCATCAACATGTTTAGCAATATCAGAACATCCATGATTTGTCTTAAAGATTTTCCGGTTTGATGTACCACGGGAAGAACATGATGCGGTTTTTGAGGTCACACCAATAGTTATTTCACTGGATTTCATGTCTGTTGAATTCATTAAATCTCCTTGATTTCTTCGACCAACTTTTCGCTTTGTTTCTGAGAACTCCAACTCAAACTTATCAGGATCAGTTTTTAATACATCAAAAACTTTCTTAGCTAGTTCATTTATTACACGAGCCTGCAAAATGAAATATTTGATAAATCATTTCATCAAGAGAAACTATTGATTTTGTAGTAAAACTTGGTGCCACAAATTTCACTAGCATTATGTCATACCTGCCTGAAATATATGGTCCCAGAAGAATTAAAATTCATCGCATTGTTGAATATTAAAAAAACATCATGCTGCATAATGGCCCAAATACCATGTATTAGATGACAAACATTAAAAAATAACAAGAAGGGACATCATACATAGCAGTTTTTACGCAAACATATTTGTCAATTGTTACTAACAGTGTTAGATTAGTGAAAGAGACAATCACATGAGCATATAAAATAAAATGAAGGTTGTAAACCTCAAATTGTTCAAGATTCTTATACATCCCTTCATGAAGTTTAGCCCTCATGGTGCCAAAATCCATAGGCTCTTTAGTGATTGCATAATAATCCTGAACCTTTGCACAATATTCCATCAAGAAAGTGAATTAGAAAGGGACTAGTCCCATAGCCGGCTCAAAGAGTCGAAGCTTGTGGGGATACCGGAGGGAGCCAACTCGCCTCAAAGAGGTAATTAGGGTTGGGTAACTCCAAAAAAAAAAAAAAAAAAAGGGAATGCAATATTCATATATAAGATATATGACTAATTATGACCACACACCTCATTTGGATCAACTGGTTCGGCAAATATTTCATAGGTGTCTCTCCTGTATATTATAAAAGATCAATATATATAAGCCAAAAAATGAGTGAGTTAAAAATATTAAATGTGAGCCATAGGAGACAAATAAGGTTTTAAATTGTAACAGAACAATGATAAAACTAATCAAAACCTTTGTAAAGTGTCAAGGACAAGTTCAAGTAATCTTTTCTCCGGCAAAATAGTTGACGATGACAGTTTTGATGGTTGATCTGATAACACACGGTAAATTAAATACATTAGGAGCGTCATAACAATTCACAATTTTAATAAAGTACAAAGCCACGTTAGTTTTAGGGAAATATAAGAATCATGTTGCAGGAATGACACTGTTCATTCCTGCAACAAGGATCCGGTTTCGTATTCTGACTTTTTTTTTTAAGCATGGGACTCACACTTAATTTGTGTGTGCAGGAAAATGCTCTTGTCATGTGACATGACAAAAAACGAACCCTCCGTTTTATGGTACAAATTAAGGAGATGTTGACATTATGTGTTATTAGTTATTGAGAGGGACACAAATGTGGAGTCAAAAACCTCACTCACCACTTTTCTTTTGATTACCTTCATGGAGAGAATGTTTCACACCCTGCAAATTTATTCAAATGGTTTGTAACAAGGTATAGCCTAAGACAAAGAAGGCATGAATAATCAATCTAAAGAACACCTCGTTTGGTGAAGTTGTTGCAGTGACTTGTTGAAGTGGCTTGAGTTTTCTCTTCTTTATGCCCCTAGTTCGCGATGCAGGTCCCTGATCATTATCCAAGTGAGACTTTATGCAAGACTTTGAATGACCACTTCCACCACTCTCCAATGCAGATAGTCGTGGACTTCTCCTTTGCCCTTCCATTTTTTGCAATTTTCTGTCACATGAAAGACAAATTCAGTTCCTATAAAATGCTGCTAAAAAAAAATGAAAATGAACTCTGAAGATTGAACTCACCTCAACCTCGTCATTGTAACTGTATATTGGATGGCAATGAGAGAGGTGGTGATCAAGGCTTTTTAAAATACTAATAAAAAAATAGGAACATGCTGATTTAAATGTAGCTTGTTTACTACTGCATTTGGGAGATATGAAAATGCCAAAGCAGGTAGTGAATTAATTAATAATAATATGACAATAATATTTGTGGGTTACAAGATCAAGGATTCTTTACATGGTTAAGTTCCTCCGTGTCAGCAAACCAAATAGTAAAGTTATAAACAAAACCAAAAGAAGAAAGAATGAGACCAATTGGCCATAAGAGTACCAACACCTTCGATCAAATTGCTGAAAAAATTTAAGATGCACCCGTCGCACTGAATATGGAGGCGAATGCTGAGGTCTTAGAAATTTGCACAAAATCCACCTACTTATCATAGTAAAAATACACTATCGTCGCAAATGTGTCGAAAATTTGTTCCAAATTGCTACACACTCCATTCTTGTTGTACACAAGATTATCCACCTTCTCACCTTATAGTCGCATCATTTCTTATTTTTTTCCTTTTTACTCTTGCCTGTTTCTTAACTCAATATTCAAGTCAAGATTCTAGTGGACTTTAAACCCAATAAATAAAGGCTTTAATAGCTCTCGTGCATACGGGAAAAGGTGCAGCAACACTTATTTTCATTAGGATACGGGTTCGGATCCTGATGTATTTTTTTTAGGTCAGGATACGGCCCCGTACCCTAGTGTTAATAATTTGCTACAACTTTTCTCATCAACAGCGAAAAGGAAAACGACGAACCCATAAGTAAAATGCATAAAATAAATTATTGGTTCTATAATTTTTTATTTATTTCTATTTTGGTTTCTATACTTTTTTTAGAGTCCTTGTAGTTTTTTTTTTTCCATTATCGTAAGTGTCAAATTTTTATTTTATTTTTTTTTAATTTTAAAGTTTCATTTTGAAGTGTCAGGTACATAAGAGGTACTCATGGGTATAGTACTCAAGAATTGTTTGTCCTGTTAGTTGGCTTCGGTTTCTCTTGTCTCGTGTAGTACTATTGTATTAAACTTCATTACACATTTCTAAATTTTTTTTCTTTAATTGATTTTTTTTTTTTTTTACAAAAGAAAGAAGAAAATACTAACACATGACAAATGAGGCACCCGTAGGATTGGCTAGAAGCAAGCTGCGTATTTTGTTTGGAAAAGAGTACCAAATGCATAAATGATCAACATTGAAATCATCAAAGGTTCATGTTTGGAAAAAAAAAAAATCAACACAAACATTATCTTCACTCAAGGAATGAACTTAGTGAACATCCAAATTCAAAAGTAACAATTCCTTCACGAAATAATTAATGGTCCAAGCAAGACAATGGAAGGGAGAAGTTTTACCAATTCCTTCATCAAATTTTGTTCTTTGCTCGAATAATGCTAGACTAACAATAACAATGAATAAAACATAAATTCTATGCAACAAATTCGTCAAGCATTCAACATCGAACCTACCTTCTTTAAGCATCATTATGCATAATGCCTTTCAAATATCTCATAATTCAATTCAAAGGATTAAAACATATATCAATAGGCTAAGATTATGAGTATACCTACTCAATTTGTTAACAAGACATGCAATGTCACATTTAGTATAGTTCATAAACTACATTAAATTGCCAATTATACAAGAATATTAAAGGTATAGAAACAAGTTTGCAATCAAAATAGCCAAACCATTTTATTATGTTTCTAATATAAAATGATTGAGATAAAATAAAAGTATCATCCTTAATAAGTAATTTAATACTAAGATCAAGAAAACTCTTAATGTCATTCAAAAGGTATAAAGATGTACAAGGATCAACAAATCATAAACATATAAACAAATAAACACGCTGTTACTATTATTAATTTTTCTATATATGCATTTATCTTGGTTAGTGGTCGTGTAACCATCAGATATCATAATATATACTATAAAATTTCTCATGTCATTGTTTTGGACACTTTATTTTTTCTTGCCTTTAATAACAAATCATTTGGTTATTCTATATAAATCTTATTTTCAAGATCATATTTTACGAATGTAATTTTCGAATAGGGTGTAATAATCAATATTCTTATGGTTTAATTCACATCAAATTATATCTTATTCAATAGTAAGCAATGGCTTCTAAGTGAGATTATGATGATTGCCTTTTTTTTATAATTGTAATTAATGAAATTTTTAATGGTTTGTTTTTTATCAGACCAATACTATATGGGCGGACCAATATGTATTGAGCCAAACCACACACGGTTGAAGAGTGAAGGCTTTCGGTTGGGATATATGTTTCTTGGGCTTGAGATGATAGAAATGAGATGGATCAATGATATTCTCCCTTGGCGTGATGATTCTGACTGGGGGTACCTGCAAAGACACTTTGATGCTCAAGTCAGTATCAAAGTTATGTTGTATTCTTACTGAATTAGATAGATATACCTGGGTGTGTACCCTTTGTTTATATAACAAGTCTGATACCGCCTTTGGTAGGCGGTATGTCCTCTGATTGGCCGTTTATGGGCTGCAGGTTTATCTGTTCTTAGCTGGTGCCTTTCTGGCTATACCTTTATATGTCACGCTACCCTTATAGAGGGGTGGCAAGCTGGAGCTGTCTTTAGTGTATTGGCGTTTGGCGTGGTGGTCTCCTGCAGTGTTTATTGACCTACTCCTTAGATCTGAAGTTATGTTTTAGGTGGCTTCATCGCGCCCTCTAACTCTTTATGAGCGATAGAGGTATTGCACAGTGTGTGGGCCCTGTGTGTTTGGGCCTTGATCTTTGGGTTTTAACCCTTGGTGGGCCTACTATATTTTATCCAAATTAGTTTTAGATGGTATCTCATTGATTTGGTTTAATTTTTAGGAAATCAATTAACAATAAAAAGATGAATTTGGCAACTGTTGATCACCTTTGAAGAATCAATTTAATGACAAAAATATCACATGACATTCTTATTTGATAAAAAGTGAGCTCGATCAAGCATTTAACGAGTTAAGCTGAAATAGTTTATAATAACTCAATACCTTTGTTTTATCCTACGGATAGAGAGACTAATGGATTGATCTTGAATCTATGAACTCTTTAAGTATCTATTAGGGAGATATCTTTGAGAATGGCATATTGCTGTGCACAAGAAATAACAATGTAGCCAAGGGATGATGTGTATATACAATGGTAGCAAATAGAGAGGGGATTCAGAATGTGTGTACCTAGTTGACTTAACCCTTTATTTATATATAGGTTACTTGACATGAATGAACTTGTTGGATTATTGGGAATCCAGTTCTTGATCCATTATTTTCACACTAAGATTAATATAATTACAAATTTTTTCTTAATTTTCTTTTTAACCATTAGCCCTTCTTGGATTTTCTAAGATGTGGACCTTTTATCAGGTCGATAAACACCCTAAGGGCTCATTTGGTGCACCTGATAAGGAGAATAAGATAGGATAAGTTATCCTATCCTGTTTGGTATGCCAAGTGGATAGGATATAGTTATCTGGTTGATTTTTCTTATCCTGCCCAAAGCCTAATTAATTATCCACGGGGGCTTGGGTTAGAAAGTGTTAGGATAGGATAAGGAAATTTTTATTTTTATTTTTCCCAATACATCCTTGAAATGTGACAAACCCTTCTCCTCTACCATCGTCTTCTATGCTCAACCTAAAATGAGAAACATCATCATGAGTTCAAAGCTCAACCACACAACTTCTCTTCCCAACCCTTTAACATAAATCTCTCAGCCACTGCGAGGTGAACCATCAAGGTATGCGGTTGTGCATTTTTTAAAACTTTATTTATGGGATGTGGGTATGTTTAGAATTAGAAGATTACACAAATCACTAAGTAGAATGAAGATGATGTTATTTGAGTTCTAATAATTAATGGTCGTAAATCGAAAATATATCATTCACAAAGTGGTAGTTTTGTTTGGCCCTAGGGGATTACATATCTTCCGTTGAGCGAGGTATCAGAGTTCGAAGGCATTAACCTCAGGTATGCTTCCCCTTCTTTATCTACATCAATTCAATCACATAGTTCCTTGTTCCTTCAATCTAAACTTATTTTACCTGTACCATCATAATGTCAACTGATGGGTTTACCAAATGGAGTCTCAGAAGTGGTTTCGTACATTCGCATATCAATTGTTTGATCAAAGTTGCTAATGAAAATTTTATCTATGTTAATTCCTTTTCAATAAGAAACAGGTTCACTGTTAGGCCTGTATCTATAACCATCTTCCCCTTCTATTTTATGTAAATTTTATATGAACATGTTTTTGCATATTTTGATCAATTACGTGTATTAAAAGGTGACAATGTTTTATATAAATTATTGAAACTATATATAGATATAAATTATTGTTGAATGGTTAATTAGTTTTGAAGTTGCGTATTTTTTTGCTTGGGTTGAGATAACTATTTTTTTTATAGATACTATTATCTTGTGGATGCTGGATATACAAATTATAAGGGATTTCTTACTCTATATAGAGGCTATCGATACCATCGCAGTGAATGGAGACATGGGTATACACCAACATATAAGGAAGAACTCTTCAATATGAGACATTCCATGGCAAGAAATGTGATAGAGAGGACATTTGGGCTGTTAAAAATGCGTTGAAAGCTATACTTAGAAGTCGGTCTTTTTATCCCATCAAAATCCAAGATCGCATAATAATTGCTTGTTGCCTTCTTCACAATTTTATCAGAAAATAAATGCCTATTGACCCAATGGATGCACAATTAGATGCAGAATTGGAAACACAAATACTCAACGAAGAAGTAGCACGCAGTGATGACGATTATATTAATACAATTGAAGCTAGTGATCAGTGGTTTACTTGGAGGGAAAATTTAGCAACACAAATGTGGAATGAATGACTAACTAATAGACATATAAATTGATTTTAGTGTTCTTTATTTGCAATTTTACTTGTATTATATATTTCATTATCACGCCTTTTTGAATGAATGAAA